CTACATAGCAAGTTCACAGCCAGCCTCAATTACATAGTGAGACCCTGTCTCAAAAAAAAAAAAAAAAAAAAAAAAAAAAAAAGAAGGGGAAAAAAAAAAAAAAAAAAAAAAAAAAAAAAAAAAAGGTAGGTGGATAAATAGATATGCATAATGAAAGGATGCAGTTAGACCCTTACCTTGTACCACACAGAAAAATTAAAATTGATAAAATACCTAAATATAAGAGTTAAACCTACAAGGTTCCTTAGATGAAAACATGTCTGTGATTTTGGCAAAGGTTTCATAGTTATGAGCCAAAAGTATAAATAACAAAAGAAAAGTGATAATCTGGACTTCAATATTAAAAACTTTTGTATACCAAGGGCCACTATTAAAAGAGTAAAAAGACAATCCATAGAATGGGAAAATATATGTGCAAGTCAAGTATCTAACTCAGGTATGGTATCTAGTCTATGTAAATAACTCTTACAACTCAACTGCAAAGCAAACAACCTAATTTAAAAATTGGGCAAAGGGGGCAGGGGATTTAGCTCAGTGGTTCTGCTGCCTGCTTGGCAAGTGCAAGGACCCGAGTTAGATTCCCAGTACCAAAAAAAAAAAAAAAAAAAAAAAAAAAAAAAAAAAAAAATTGGGCAAAGGGGAACAGGCAAAGCTGAATGGTAGAGCACATGCTTTGTTTGCATGAGGCCTCAGACTCAGATTCAACCCCTAACACTACCAACAAAATAATCACATAAATAAATAAAAATTAGCATCTGGGATGAGGATGGGGCTCAGTGGTAAAGGTCTATTTTTATACCTCTATCTCTATATCTACATCTATATATGTATTTTAAATTTTGCTAAATTGCCCAGGCTGGGCTTGAACCTGTGATCATAGGCATGCCTCACCTAGCCTGGGTACAGTATATGGTAAAAACTCTTGCCTAGGATGTGTCAGGTCCTGGGTTGATCTACATAGCAAGCATAAGAAAAAAAAAATGGCAAAAGACTTGAATGAATATTTCTTCAAAGAAGATATATGAATGGCCAACAGGACACAAAAAGATACTCAATATTAGTGATTAGGGAAATGTAAATCAAAAGCACAATAAGCTTGCCTAGGAGGTGTGAGGGCTGGATTTGATCCCCAGCATTGCAAAATAAGCAAACAAAAACCCTCAATGAGAGATATCAATGCACAGAAAGAGAGGGAGAGGAGGGAGGGAAGGAAAGAAAAGAGAGAAAGGAGGGAGGAGTATACAGTGTTGGTGAGGATATGGAGAAATTTAAACTCTTGTGTATTGCTGATAGAAACATGAAAAGGTGCAGCTGTTGTGGAAAACCATTTGGCAATCCCTCAGAAAGCTAAAACAATTACCATATGACTCAGCAGTTCCACATCTAGGTACATAAGAGAAAAAAATAAAAACACATGCTTAGCAAAGACCTGTGCTGCCTGAATCTTTTTAGCAGCATCATGTAGTCACAACAGCCACATGTTCTTCAACAGAGGAATGGATAAACAAATGCATCCTTACAACTGCCTATTACTCCACTATAAAAAAGGATAAGATACTGACACATGCTACTCCATAGCTAAACTTGAAAATAGGCTAAGAAGCCAGACACTAAAGGCCACATATTTTGTGATTCTATGTATAAGAAATATCCAGACTAGGTGAATCCATAGAGACAGAAAACAGCTTCATTGCTCCAGGGCCTGCAGGCTGTAGAGAACCAGAGAGACTGTTTAATAGTCATGGGGTTTTCTTTTGGGGTGATGAGAAAGTTCCAAACTAGAAGTGATAATGACTGTACAACACTGTGAACATATCAAATGCCACTAAAACATACACTCTGGTGCATCTTATTACCACAACAAAAGTTACTTTTTAAGATTTTTATTTTTATTGTTTTGGCACCGGAGATCAAACTCCAGCCCTTGAGCTGGCACTCACTGCGCTAAACCCCTAGCCCAATGCAAGTTATTTTTTTAATTAAGAAAAACCTTTATATGACAAAACATAGTATCAGGAGAGGCAACGGAAGAATAAAACTGTTATAAAAGTAATTTATAAAAAGTTAATCTGAGGGCCGGAGAATTAGCTCAGTGGTGCCGCCAACTGCTTCGCAAGTGCAAGGTCCTGAGTTCAATCCCCAAACCAAAAAAAAAAGTCTGAACTATTAAAAAAGATTCAATACAAATATATAGGACAAATCTACAAAGTTCTCAGGCTAAGTTATTAAAACTTATGGACAGAGTAGATACCAGAAAATGACTATAATAACATTTCTCACATAAAAAACACAGCCTAGCTGGACACAGTGGTCTGCAACCACAGTCCCAGCTCCTGGGAGGTTAAGTCAGGAGGATCATCTGGGCCCAGCAGTTTGAGGCCAGTTTGGGCAACATAGCAAGACCCTATCTCAACAAAACAAAACAAACAAAAAACAAAAAAGATAAAATAAAAAATAAAGATGGGCCACTAGAAAGGAAGTACTTATTAAAACATCTTTCAAGAAGCATTCTATTCCACATTCTTTGATAAAACATAAAAATCAAGGGGCCAGGTCACAGAAGAATGAATCATCTATTCTAAAAAACACTCAGATAATATACTGTATAACAGCACTAAAAAGCAAGTCAAGTATGTTGACTTAGTAATTTCATTAGAACTAGACTTTTATTTTATTTTTTTCTGTACCAGGGACTTGAACCCAGAGCCTCGGAAGGCTAAGCAAGCACTCTATCATTCAGCCACATCCCTAACCCATTTTATTTTTATTTTGAGCAGGGTCTTGCTAAATTTTTCAGGCCAGCCTTGAATTTGCAGTATTCCTCAACCTCCCAAGTAGTTGTTATTACAGCAGTGCACCACAACATCAGCAGGACTAAACTTCTTGTTTTTTCAATAGTGGGACCTGAACTCAGGGCCTTCACAATGAGCAACATCCAGCCCTTTTTTATTTATTAAGATTTTTTGCAGTACCAGGGACTGAAATCAGGACCTTGTGCTTATGAGGCAGGGTCAGGGCCCCTGAGCTAAATCCCTGGCCCCACTTTTTTTATTTTTCACTTTGAGACAGGGTGTTGCTAAATTGCCCAGGCTGGGCTTGAATTTGTGATCCTTCTGCCTCAGCCTCTCAGAGTACTGGGATTACAGGCGTGCACCACCACTTCTGACTAGGACTGTATTTTTATTTTATTTTTAATTTTTTTGCACTTCAATAATTTTATTGAAAGGTATATCCCTTAGTATCAAACATAATGGTTTTCTCCTTTTAATTGTCATGACATCTTTTTTTTTAAATTATTTCCTATGCTTCCTACTTTGAATGTTCTTTTTAAAATATATTCCTGGAGGGTGGGGGTGGAATATAAATATATATATATATATTTATATTCCACCCCCACCCTCCAGGAATATATTTTAAAAAGAACATTCAAAGTAGGAAGCATAGGAAATAATTTAAAAAAAAAGATGTCATGACAATTAAAAGGAGAAAATATAAAGTGATCTAGATCATTAATGAGAGTAAAACAAGTAAACTATTATTGCATGTATGTATATATTTAAAATTGTAAGTAAATAACTAATAAAACAGTATGTAAAAAATAATGTTAAAGCAAATAAAAGATAGCACATGTATTGATTTCAATTCTAGTACATTTATAATACATAGTACATATATAATACATATAATAAAGAATTTAGAGCAAAAATTTTAAACTCATGACTCTTTTCAATATTGTGAAGTGATAATTTGAGACATTATTTTCAATTATATTCTTTACCCCCAAATAGGTAGCCTCATAAATAAGACAATAAAAAATTTTATAAGATAAATGTAAGTTTAGAAGAAAATATTAAAAGACCAAAGTAAGACATTTTATTTTGATAGTCTTTTACTACAAATTTCTTCTTGAACTAAATGTTTCCAAGACAATTTCCCAAACAGGATTTTGAAGTTTTTCTGTTTGTTTTGTTTTTTTGTACTGGGAATTGAACTCAGGACCTTGGGCTTGCCAGGAAGGCGCAGTACCACTGAGCTAAATCATTGGCCCTGCTAACAGTATTTTGAAAAAAAGATTTATTTTTTTTTACTACATTTAAAAAGTTAATCACATTCTTTCAAGTAAAAATATTTTCATGCAATACTTTAATCAAAATATCAAAAAGCAATATTCATTTATATGTAGAAATGTGATGAACTGTTATAAAAATCCTGAATAAATACACAAATACTAACATGCCCAGTTCTCAACCTGTGTAGAAGTAACTGCCTACACACTGCTCTGAACAGCTGGTGCCATAAAAGCCATCATAAACACCAAAGACAATCCAGAGCCATCACATATTCTGTCTGTTCAGACTAAGACAGGAAGAAGTCACAGAAAGGAGGAATGAAAGGCACAGGTGAAGGGAGCTAGTCTACGGGGCCCTTCGCTGTTCTAAATTCTCTCTGCTACCAAAATTTCTTACTCCTCCTGAGAATCCACCAATAGACAGCTATGCAGATTAGGAGGGATTATCCACTATCGAAATCAATAACTCTAAATAATTAAGTACAATACTTTATTACACAATACTCTGAATTTGTTCAATTGCTTCACTTTTCTCCATTTAACTGAAGCAAGCTGCAAGTCAAAGGAGGAGGCAGTACTGAGCCACTCACTACTGCAGTTCCTCCCAGAATGCTCCATTTTTCCAAACTTCTAATCAAAGTTCCCAACTATTTAGTCTAAAAAAGTACATCTTTTCTCAACAAATTTTAAATTAATAAGAAATAATAGCATTTTTAAAAATCAACTCACCTGAAATTTATTAACACTGGAGAACAGTGTTCTTTAAAGTAATCTATTCAAAATTGAATTTTAACATTATCTTACTTTTTTTTTACACTGATTTCACTATACGATCATTACAAAGTATAACAATGAAAACCTTACTTTGCCCTTGTATACAAACATTACAGTTAAAGAAGTTTTTTTAGCAAATATTCATTAATTGACTTACTTTGCTTCAATTTGTGGAAATCACCAACTCTATCCTTGGTGGCTTGCTTTAGTATATCCATTTGGATTCTGGGTTCACTCTCCAAGTTTGAGCCAGGATTTACATGCTGAAGAGGATTGGAAGGGTTTTGTTTTGAAGTACCCAGGTTACCATCATGGTTTACATGTGAATCTGTGGCATAAAAACATCAAATTAAAATAACTTTTTTTTAAAGGTAGTATTAGGGATTGAACCCGGGACCTTCAAACTGAGCTACATCCCCAGTCCTTTTTCTGAATTTTTATCTTGTGCCAGGGTCTCAGTAAGTGATTAAGTTGCCCCAGCTGGCTTGAACTTTTGATCTTCTGGCCCCTGCCCTCCTCAGTGCTGCAGAACAGGTGTGTACCACCATGCCTGGAAGAACGTAATTCTTTTACAGAAGAATTTCATAAGACTTAAAATGCTAAAAAACACAGATATCTGAAATGATCTTGTGAGTTTTTTAAAGCTATAATTTCTTTTTATTAAATATTGTTAACAATATGCTATTAGCTGTGGGAGTTTGCTAATCATTATCAAGTGAGAATTGCCACTGTTTTAAAAACTATTCACCAAAGAGATACACAGTAGAACTCAGAGATTAATATAGCAATGACATGTGATGGCATATGCCTGTAATTTCAGCCACTCAAAAAGCTAGGACAAGAAGACTACAAGTTCAAGGCTAACCTAGGAAACAGAGCAAAACAAAAAGGTAAATAGCAATTATACCCATGTCTTCACCTCTCTGCAAAGTCCGTACTGCTCTCAGAAACCTGTAAGTCAGCTTCATCTAATAAAGACTAAGAACTGTTAGTTGTGGATTCTTTCATAGCAGCAACTCCTTAACCTCGCTTTCCTTCACCCCATCTTGATTTAGATCCTTATTACTATTAACTTTGGAATCAGAAACTTCCCGAGCCACTGATGTCTACATCTTTTCTTTCCATCATCTCCCCAAGAAGGTCCTTTCAATCGTATCAGCTCTTATTTTAGAACATTTCTGTAAAATCAAACAGGTGCCCTGTATTAATCAAACACACTCATAAGTATGGGTTTAATGTAGGATATTATAGCAGGTGTATATGTAAGACAACTGAACACATTTTGGAGAAACAGTTCAGAGTGGCATAATAAATATTTCTTTTGCTTTCAAGAAAAACTATCGTAACACATGAAACAAAGTGCAGTTTTGGATGATTCCTCCCTGAGTTTTACCAGTCATTTGAAATACATAACATTAAAAAATAAATACTAGCCTGGCGTGATGGCACACTCCTATAATACCAGAACTCAGGAAGACGAGGCAGGAGGATTGCTACCAGTCTGAGGCTAGATTGGGCTATGCAGTCAGTTCAAGGCCAACCTAAACTACAAAGAGAGAACTGTCGCAAAAATAAACAAACCAAACCAAACCAACCAACAAATAAAGTTATTTCACTGTGCTGCTAAATGACATATTTTAGCCACTAGATGACAGTATAGAAGTAAAAATGGGCATGCTGACTCATACCCGTAATTTCAGTACTCTATAAGACTGAAGATTGTAAATTCAAGCCCACCCTGGGCAACTTAGTGACTCAGTGATACCCTCTCTCAAAATAAAAAAAGAGCTGGGAATGCAGCTCAGTATAAAGGTCCCAGGTTCAATATCCAGTGACACAAACAAACAAACAAACACACACACACAAACATGACCAGTAAACTGGTTTTAAAGCATAATGTTAGGAATAAGACTTCATACCTGGACCCATATTTGGGGAGAGAGGTTGTCCAGTTGGAAGATGGGAGATTGTCTGATGATTTTCATGTTGAGAAACTAAAACAGGGGGCTTCCTTAAAGCTGTAAGAAAAAATACATCCATTGTATTCCCACTGATATTATGATTTGTATAAACCAATATCATGGATCTATTTACATTATACTAACCCTATGATGCTCATTCTAATCCTGTAAACTTTAGAGTTGATATATTAACTAACTCACTTATGGTTACTAATTGATATACTGTACCATTCAACACAGATTTTGGTGATCAATAAATCTTACCAGAATATAACAAGTTCTGTGACAGCACAAACTCTGCCTTGTTCACTGCTGTATCCTTAAAACATAGAATAGTGCCTGGCACATAATAGAGACTCCCAGTGATTTGACAATATATACTTAAATTAATCTTTTTAGATCCAGTGATTTCCAACAGTGAGACCTTTTTATACAGGTAGTATAAATAAAAATTGACATTTATAGGTTAGGTAAAACAGTAACATTATGCTACCTTTAGTTCCTCAGATTTAAAATAAAGCCTCAATATGACTACTCCAATAATTTGAGATTTTATTACGAAGATGGAAAATTTGTTTTGTGCAAAGTTCTTTACTAACAAAGAGACACATACCTTAGAGTAGGGGCAGTATTTTCTCTTAAGAATTGAAGCCAACAGGGAAAAAGCTGAGTTTTTACTCATTACCACTGACTCTATTATATCCTGAGCAGGTGAACATGACAGAAAGGCAGAAAATAAACCAGAAAACAACAGAGAAAGAAAACATCATGTACAATCTCTCTTCCCTTTGCCCTTAGGATGCAACATGAGATGCCAGTGGGATCACATAAAGGGAGGGCTCACTGCTCAGAGGAGTGCTGCCAGGAGAGCCCCTCAACCACGAGCAGTAAATAAACCTTCACTGCTCTAGGCCACTGTAATCTGAAGTGTGAACACAGTCTAGTCAATCCTCATTGGTATACCTGAGTTATTTTTACAATCCTCAAACTTATTTCAATGATTGTATTTTCATTTATTAATACATAGCTTCCACACCTAAGTAGCAAAAAGTGTGAAATTCACTCTAAGAGAGAATACTACTCAAGTTTACAGAAAGTTGAGGTTTTCCATGTCTCACTTTGTTCCCATTACCTTGTTCCTACTTTTATCTGCAATGTGTAACACACACTTTGGCACATAAAACAGCTAAAGAACAATCAATTAAAATCTCAGAGGAATGGAACTTGACAGGTTTAACAAAACAACTTTTATCTGCTTACAAACTCTGAGGATACTAAGCATTGACAGAAATACTTAGGAAAAGAAGTCAGTCATAATGTACAAATTTGCTGATCATAGCCGGCCTCTCTACTATAAAATCAGAAAACAGACAGGTGCTTCCATTACAAAATAAGTGATCATTCATGTCCTTAGCTTTATATAATAATGGTTCCTACTTAAAAATTGGGTGATTATTGCAGGAAAAACTATGACTTAGTTATGTAAAACAAAGCTGGATTCAAAAAGGTCTTTATAAAACACCCACATTGGTTTAGAAATGCTGTAGCAGTGACAGAATAGTAGTATACAGGCCTTATAACCCTCATAGGGTAGTTTTCCTCTTACTGATTGACTGAGGCCAGGTCTCGCTATGCAGTTCAGGTTAGCCCTGAACTTGTTATATAGCCCAGGCTGGCTTTAAACTGGTGATCTTCCTTCGTTAAGACTCCGGAGTAGTCAGAATTACTAGCATGTGCTGCCACATCTGCTTGGATCTTTCTTTATAGACACACAGTTATCTAATGTTTCCTCTATAAGAATAAGAAAAAAAACCAGCTATCTTTGTATGCCAATATGGCTTAGCATCGCCATTTTAATGAGCATATATCATATATTATAGATGCAACAAATTTAATGAACACTATTGTATCTTTTATGTGGTTTCCAATTTCTCATTATAAACAGTTTTATGATGTACATTCTTGCAATTACATAATAAATTCTTAGATTAATTTAAAAGTCAATAGTTATGCATACTTTTCAAATAAATCAAGAGAAACCAAATAATAAATGTTAAGTTTAAAGAGAATAATAAGAGTGCGTGGGAAAATTAGACATGGTAAAGACTACAAAAATTATAGCAATGATTTATGATATTAAAGCAGGTTTTTTTGTTTTTTGGTTAAGACAGGGTCTCACTATGTAGTTGAGGCTGACCTGGAACTCACTATGTAGCCCAGGCTGGTCTCAAACTCATAGCAATCCTCCTGCCTCAGCCTCCCGAGTGCTGGGATTATAGGTGTGCGCCACCATGCCTGGCAACTTATTTTTTTAGGATGGAAAATAAAGAAGAAATGGACAGATTTCTAGATACACATGAATTACCAAAGCTGATTAGAGAAGATATAAAAATTCTAAATAAACCAATATCACTCAATGAAATTGAAGATGTAATTTAAAAACTACCAACAGCCAGGCATGGTGGTGCATGCTGATTTCAAACGTTTAGCATCCTCCTGCCTCAGCCTCCCGAGTGCTAGGATTATAGGTATGCACTACCATGCCTGGCTTAAAGCAGTTTTAACTCTGTATTTTACCTTAGTTCTTTTTGTTAAGAACCAACTACATATATGTATGTGTGTGTGAAAAAAAATATATGCATATGTCAACAGAGAATAGCAAGCTGCTATCAGAAAATATGATCAGGCCGAGGATGGTTGGTGCACATTTGTAATCCCAGTGCTCGGGAGGCTGAGGAAGAGGACTGGTGTGAGTTTGAGGCCAGCCTGAACTAGAGAGCAAGACCCTGTCTCAAAAGAACAAAAACAAAATCAAAAAAGAAAATATGATACCTAGGCTTCTATGGGCTGGAGATGTAGCTCAGTGATACAGTGCTTGCCTAGCATGCACAACCCCTGGATTTAATGCCTAGCACTGTAACACCTACCACCACCACTACCACCAGCAAGAACGACAAAAAACTACATTGATAAATTATACTTTTTTTTTTTTGTTTGAGACAGGGTCTCACTATATAGTCAAGACTGACCTGGAACTCACTATGTAGCCCAGGCTGGTCTCGAACTCACAGTGATCCTCTTGCCTCAACCTCCCGAGTGCTGGAATTACTGGGATTACAGGCATGCGCCACCACGCCCGGCTAAATTATACATTATTGATTAAATCATCATTAAGGAAAAGTACCAAAGATAAAATAACAAACCCCATGTATTACAAAGACAAAATGCAAGACATCAGTCATTAAAGTACACAGGGTTCTTTTCTTTGTGGTGCTTGGGATCAAGCCCAGGGCCTCCTGCATGCTAGGCAAGCATTCTACCACTGAGCTATATATCCCCAGCCCACACTCAGTTTTATCAGACTACTGTTTTTGCATTCTTTATAAAAAAAGAAATTATCAGTGTAGAAATTGGACCACTCAGCAGAACACGGCCCTCAAAAGTTGAGACTCAGCAGTGAACAGAAGATCATGTTATGACACTATGAAGCCACTATCCTTGCTGAGAAAAGAACAGTAAATTTAACTAAAAAGACACAATATGTATATGACTTTAGTAAGCTCCTAATTCTTCTAAGCCTCAACCCTCCCCTGAAAAGTAAAGATAATGCTATTTACCCTGCATAAGCAATGTGGGGATTGAAAATACTTGCCTATAGATGATACAAGCCTAGTAAACAGAAAATGCTCAAAGGGCCGGTGGTTTAGCTAAGTGGCACCATTCCTGCCTCGCAAGCGCAAAGTCCTGAGTTCAACCCCCAGCCTGGGGGCATGGAGCTCAATACATACTGCATCATTCAGAGTTAGCAAAGTGAAGTGTTTACCCTTAGAATGATCCAAGGCTCAGCTTAAGGAAAAAAAGAAGAACATTCAGACAAACCTTTTGGCCCTAATCAATTTATTGAGCCCCCTGATAACATAGTTAACTTAATCTAGGAGTCCTAAAAAACAGATTTACATAGATTTTGAAAGACTCAAAAAAATTTGGTCAGCAAATGACCATATTAAAGAAATCCCAGAAAGTGAAGACCAGAGTTGTGTGTGCCTGTGATCCAGCTTCAAGGGAAATTGAGGAAGGAGAATCAGAACTTCAAAACCAGTACAGGCAACAGAAGCATCATAGTGAGACCCTATCTCAAACAAAACAAAACAAAACATGCCCCCCAAAACAAACTCAAAGAAAGAGATAAAATATTAATCCTTCTGAAGCCTGAATGGACCATCTCCAAAAAATACATGTCTACAAAGACTTTTTTTTTAATATTGAACCCAGGGGCATGCTACCACTGAGCTACATCCCAAACACTAACTCTCTTTCCCTCCCTCACTCTGTCTCTCTCCTTCTCTCTTTCTTCCTTCCTTATTTCCTTCCTTTCCATTCTTCCCCGCCCCTTTCTTAAATTTTAAGATAGGAGCTCACTAAACTGCTCAGGCTGGCTTTGAACTTGGGATCTTTCTGCTTAAGTTTCCAGAGTAGACAGGAACACAGTTATGCACCACCATGCCCCACTATACAGACTGTTAAAAGAACGTTCTCATGACTGGTAAGACTTGGTTAATGAACTAAGGTTCCTTTAAACTTAGACATTTATTTAATTTAAAATAGGGCCACAGGGCAGGGGATTTAGCTCAGTGGTGCTGTGGCCTGCCTCACAAGCACAAGGTCATGAGTTCAATCCCTGATACCAGAAAAAAAAAAAAAAGACCACCACAGACTTCCACCGCTAGCAATAATATAAGTATTGGACTTATTCCTCCACCCTAAAAATATTAATATGCACAAATTAAATGATGCAATTATTTGCAAGGATGAGACAATGAGAAGTACAAGAGTATGACACCCTTGAGATAAGGGATGCATGTGTAATTTGGGTGAGAAGAGGAGGCAGAAATCATCAGAATTTAGGCAGCCAAGGTATCTAGAATTTGTAGAACAGAGTTATAATGGAAAGTGCTACGTAGCATAAAAAGGGCACAGAAATCTGCATAGGAATTTCCCTTTGCGTCTTTAGAGTCAGGCTACTATGCACAGGGTGAGACTTTACAGGACCTACCACT